TGTTTACGATTATAGATCTAACCCTCTCATAATATAATCCTCTCTCTCTAGATAAGACACAAAGCCAATAGATAATCTATAGTGGTTGACATAACTCGCTTACTATCATTAGAGTCTTCTTTTAGCTCTGCTAGGATTTATGTTGTTTTATTATCATTACATTACTGTATTGTCGTATCATGAAGTACTCTCTCATGTCTTTCTCTGCTAAATTACCACAATGATCTCGAAAACAATCTCTCTACTATCATCATCTGTTTCCTCCTTATCGCGTTGTATGTATTGGTCTATACTCTTCGTCATAGCAATTGCAGATAGTGTGAATATACATATATGATGAATATTATGAGTCTTCTCTCTCTCTTAATTCATATAGGGTGCCGCTAATCTCATACTCTCAGCAACATAGACATGTGAGGGTGTGCTTTATCTACACGACTCGATAAGACTACATATCTCTCTCCTTTACTCCTCTCACAGATTCACATATATTACCATGTGTCTTTACTCGTGTATCTCTCTCTTATACACATCGCTCTCAAATGACTATAACCCTCTGAAGTACTCAATTTATTACAACATATCCTTTGTGAATTGCGTGAACATTGTTCAAGTTACTCATTAATATCTGAACTGAGTCTGTATCTCGTTCGCGATTGTCTCTCCTGCCACTGCTCGAGACTCTCCGTGCATCGATCTAGTGCTGTCACTGCATCCTGTTTCATAGATGATCGTATATGAATTCGTGCATGTGACAGTCAGTTCACCTAATACTGTTACTCGTACTAATTACACTGTCTCAATATTAAATATACACGCATATATAAAAATCCTCTCATACACCATTACATATAGAATTATACTCTCATATATGTTAATGATTTCAAAATATCAAGATCATGCCTATCTCTCTCTAAATGATAGTGATCACTACGTGGCACACACGTGTCATACGTCCGATAAACAGACAAATACCACAAGAATGTATAAATCTCTCTATATGTTAAGAATCATATTTACTTTAACGACCATAACACACATTTTCTTCTCATCTAATATTAGCAAATTATAACTTAAAAGATACAAATTTTTATCTATTATATACAGTTTTCATATATAGATATAATATATAATAAAATTAACAAAATCTCTCGTAGTTTATATCAGGAGACAATTGGTAAATACTAATGGCATATAAGCTCTCTCTCAAGTTAAATAATACACTACATTTATCACAAACAATGATACACATGCTCTCATTGACATCGTGTGGGTATTTGAATCAATAATACTGATCGAAAAAGTATATAAAGGATTTCTAAAGTACATATATACGCATATATATTTATTATTAATAGTGTATATTCATAAATCATTAGTTATTCGTGAACAGACTAGTTATTACTCTCTCGACTTTCGATAAAATAATTCCAAGGCTATTTTCCGTCATTCTTAGTCTGAAAAGAATTGTGACATATGCTGCAAAGCACATATCTTTTAGACTCAACATCTCATAGTGAAGCGTTCGGTTCCAAAGGTCGTTTTGATGCGAAAAAAATAACGACTCAGGCCTGCGGCCTTCCTGGTCAATTTCTACGCATCAAAACTCCAAACCGGTGTTAAATAGCCGATATACACCTCTCAGGCCGATGATATTTCTTAAGCTGAAAAGAGAAAGTGTAAATAAAAGAAAAAATCTGGAAACTCAATTATAATCTTCGGCGATCAACAACAGTGAACTATTCAATATTTAACATTCACATTCATAATGTAATGTTGTGTTAAATAACTTATGTGTCGTGTTGTGTTGAGCTGTGTAGTGTTGTGTTGCGACGGGATGTGTGATATATGATATGAATTATGTGACATGACAGGTCATGTCGTGTACATGTCATGTCGTGTCATGTTGCTTTGTATTGTAGTGTTCTGTGTTGTGTTGAGTTAATGTAAAGTCATCCAACTTAAAGAAACCTTGTTTAATCTATGCCAACGGCCTGGTTGCCTTAAAAAAATAATATTACTATTTTATATGTATATTATCGAACACGGATGCGGTTGATGTGTACATGTAAGCGAAATTAAAAAGGTGTTTTATATCCGATGTTTCGGTCAATGAGAATCATTTCATTATCTAATAAAAACACTTATCGCAAAAAGTATTATTTTTCGTCCTTAAGCGAAAGCATTAATGGCTTTATAACTATTAATAATAAATGTTCCATACATGTAATTTTAAACAATATACTTTCTCTATCTTATATTCATAGTATTGTATATTTGTATATTGACAAAACGGAAATTTATAAGCATGTTCTTAAAAAAATAATTTTATTTTTATTGCTTATTTATTAATACTTACAGATTTAATCAATTCGTATTCTATTTTATTTAAAAAAAAGGTCGCTAGATAGGTTATATCAACAAATATCAATAGGCTATTACTTTCAGCAGTCTTTCAAAAGGAAAAATACACTATATTCCGTGCAATAAAATGTGACAAAACGGTATTAAACATAAAAATAGATTCAATGGCTATCTCAAATTATACTGAATAATTACGAATAATTTCAACCGTTAGTAAGATATCTAAATAAGAGTATAACCCTTTTTTTTAATTGAATGTTATCGCTAATAATAAAATTTTACGTTTAAGATGGATTTTACTGATACAAGCTTGATATAAATGACAACACGTAAATGAAGTAGCGAGCTTCGAGCACCTGTTTCAAAACTTGTTGTTGTTGCTTCCGTTGCTGTAGTTTCAACTACCATTGCGTTACTTGTATCTGTTATTGTACTTTCCGTTATTCCCGTTGTTGTTTCTGTTACAACTGTAACCGTCGCATTGATAACATCCGTGCTACTTTGGTAGTAAGAGCTAAACCCCACCGAAGACGATAAATATGTAGATATATCAGTTACATCCAGTGTTTGTGTTGCAATTAATAACATCGGTTGCCTACTTTCATATGTAGGAAATTAACACCATCGAAGACGATAAATATGTAGACATGTCAGTTACACCAACAGCTTGTGTTGCATTCGTAATATCCATGCTACTTTCATATGTAGGACTTAACACCATTGAAGACGATAGATATGTAGGCATGTCAGTTACATCCACTGTTTGTGTTGCATTAATAACATCGGTGCTTCTTTCATATGTAGGACTTAACACCACAAAAGACGATGAATATGTAGATATGTCAGTTGCATCCACAGCTTGTGTTGCATTCGTAATATCCATGCTACTTTCATATGTAGGACTTAACACCATCGAAGACGATAGATATGTAGGCATGTCAGTTACATCCACTGTTTGTGTTGCATTAATAACATCGGTGCTACTTTCATATGTAGGACTTAACACCATCGAAGACGATGAATACGTAGACATGTCAGTTACATCCACTGTACGTGACATATTAATTAGTGAAGAACTTGAAGAAGTTGACATTGACCAAGTAGACAAATGTGTCATGATACCTGATCCACTCCAAGATGTATATTCTAGAGTGGAGTTTGGTACGTATAATACATTATCTGTTGATGAGTAAATTGTATTCGTGTGAAGTTCTGTCGAATCAACGGTCATTTCATATTGTACTGAAGAACGCGTTAAATTATCGGTCACTGGATTTCCGCGGGAAAGGGTACGCCTTTTTTTAAAAACCCTTTTTAAATGGAACGCGCACGTTTAAAATGCAAAACCCTTTCATTTTTTTTTAAAATTTTTTATTTTAAATTTAAAATCGCCCTTTAAAAACCTTACAAAACCTTTTCCCCAAATTTAAAAATTTTCAAATTTAAATTTTCAGAAATTTTATATAAAAAAAAATAATTTTTAATTTTTAGTGTTGAAAAATATTTTTCCATATTTCCCGTAAAAATAAGTCACTTCACCAAAAAAAAAACAAAAAAAAACCCCGTTTTAAACAACCCTTTTAAAAATTTAACAAACCCATCTTTTTTCTCCATACAAAAAAACCCAATTTTTCGAAAATTTTCCTTTAACCAGTAAAGAAATCAAAGGTAGCCTTTTAAAATTTTTATATAACCCACAAAAATTCATGCTTTTAACATGGGGGAAAAAACCCTTAGATTTTCAAGTTTGATTATATGGTAAGATACCGTTACGGAGTGGTCGAACCAAATAATGTTATATATAGAAAACATTTAAACATTATAAATATCAATTAAAAAAGTTCCCTTTCTGAAATTGAAATGCTTGACTAGTTTACGCATTTTAAGTAATAAACTAGCTTTGCAGACCTATACATTCTAAAGATTTGCGATATATTTGCCTAATTTTGAACAATTATATAGCCAGTTTAGATCCCTTATAATTACACATGAAAACATGTTGTATTTATTCATTTAAGCCAAAATGAATGCCTCGCACCGAGTCAGAGCACCACCAGTGTTGGAATAACATGACAAATGAACAGAGAAACAAGTTTAATGTCTTATCATTACGTAAAAGTTAATAAGACACCACAGTGAAAGATGAGTCACTTGCTGATTATACCTATGGATCACCAGGCGCACCCTATCGTATTCAGTTAGTTTTCAGTAGAAAGTTTGACATTTCCCCAAAATTGTCGGACAAGTTCGTTTAAGAGCATGGGATGGGTTAATGTGACGTCATTTCATATTTTATGTGCTTGTGAACAACATCGAGTTTCTGAACGAAATTTTATGTTATTATACTAATGTAAGTTAAACAAAGAGCAAAATAATCATTCATTTTTGATATATGATTCATATGTAATATGTAGGGAATAGAATCAAAACAATGGCTGCCGTTACACATAAAAAAAATAGTCGCACGAAACGTTTTAAATTTTCGTTTAAATTGATAACACACATAACATCCGGGTTGAAATTTAGTAACCTAGGTAAAAGGCAACATATATTAAACTATTGATGTAAAGTGGTTTTTATTTTATTTTTTATTTTTATTTGTTTTTTGTTTTTTTTACTATACCAGGTTTCAAAGATTATTGATTCTTACCTATCAAAGTACAGTTAGCAACTTCCCATTGTCCTGTATCTAAGCATGTAATACTGGCGGTATTTTCCGTGTATCCATCAGTACAAGACACTGTTGCTGTGTTACCGACAGTAGTGTTTGCAGCATCATCAAGGGTCAAGTTGCCATTAGTTATAGCTGGTAAATTCCCACAGTCTATAAAAGTTGTTTTAGAATTTAGAGTTATGAAAAGCTAAAAGTGTAATTAAATTATTTGTAACAATAAAAATCTTTGAAAATGTACTTATTCATTTGGTCATTCTCTTTTCAAATGTTAACAAAGCGAAGTTCAATTTTTGATATTTTGAAATTATTTCATTTGGCTAATCAAAGTTCCATTTTCAAATTTTTAAAGGAAAAAATGCGGCCCTTAAAAAAATTCCCGGAAGGGTTAAAAATTTTTAGTTTAAATTAAATTGCGGTAGGTTTTATGCCCCAAAACTACTAACAAGACAACACGTTAATTTATTAAAAATTTTTTATTTTAAAAAAGATTTTACAATCCAAACAGTCTCATAGCCCTATCATTTTTAAAATTTTACTCAAAAAAATGCTACATAACATTTTACCCCCGTAGGCAAAAAGGAAGACATCTGTCACCTTTCCTTTTTCACACACCCCTATATCCCGGGGGGGGCCCCTGAAAAATAGCATAAAACCCTCCGGGCAAATAAAAAATACAATTTTCTCCTTTCCCAAACCGTTTTCATATTGTTTAAATATAGGTTAAGTTTATTTCCCTTTTCTTCAAAACCTGGCGGATCTCCAACCCAAACGAAAAAGGGTGAGAAGGGAAAACCCTATACTTCTATATTTTTTGTGAAATAAAAAAATGAACAACCAAAAAAAAATGTTTTTTTTACTTTATGTCACAGTTTAAAAACCCAAAATTTAAAAGCTTAATCTCTGTGTGGGAATTTTAATTTTAGTAAAACTTTTTACAACCAATAAATGCTTTTTTTTTGTTTTAAAGAAAAAAGGGACAACCATGAAATGCTAAATTCCCCGTTTTGTTTTTAAACATTTTCAACCATGCAAAAAGCTATAATTTTTTTATGTACACATACAACCCTTTAAAAAGCCCATAATTTTTTGTTTTTTTTTTTTTTTTTTTTTTTACAAAAGTACAAACACAAAAGCCATAATTGTTTTTGATTTGCACAGTACCCAAACCCTAAACAACGCTTAATCTTTGGAGGTAAGCATTTTAAACAAAAAATGCAATATATAATGATGTACACGGAAAAACCAAAGTAAATGTAATTTGATGAATGTTTTTTTACAAAATACAACTAATTTAAAGCTTTTAATTATGTGAAAGTACACAGTTTCAAAACCATGTAAATAAAATAAGAATGTCGTTAAAACATTGTACAAAACCCTATAAAAAGCTTTTGAAAATCTAACATTTTAAATCCATTTTTAAAAACATTAAATTTAATCAAGTTTGGAAACCCAAAAGGGCCCAAAAATTTTTTTTTAAACCCCAAAAACGTTAAATGCACTCTAAACCCAATTTAAAAAATTGACCTGGGAAAAATGAAAAGCTGATACCACCCCCTTTTATACAATATTACATGTACAAAAACTAAAAGGGCACTTTGCATTCACTCGCCCCTGTTCAAGTTTAAAAATTTTTCCCCGGAACATTGCATTTACTGCGCAAAGCTGAAATACAACAATATACTTCACGAAAAATGAGCAAAAAATACTAACAGTGATAAACCATTTGTATTAATAGAGAAACACATGAAAATGCGGAGACTCAACACTTTGAGATCAAACTCACTCGGGTAATATCGATGGCTGAAACCACTAAATGCCGGGCAATTCTAAAGAATATGGGTTTAAATAAAAACAAGAAAGCCGCCCTTGGCTGGCAATTATTCGCCCCTTTAACATTTTAATAAGCCCCAATTTCAAATTACATGACCACACTTTGCCAAATTACAATTTTTTAAAATGACCTGTGTTTTTAAAAACCAAGAGAAAGAGTAGACATACCCAAATGGACACTATTGTTTCGACCAGCAGGGAAGTTATTTCAAAGCGTTTTAAGGCTAGTCGTGGAAAATCGTGGAAGACTTAAAATTTCTCGTTTCCATGACATTATAGCTGACTCGTTTCCACACATTAAGCTAACTCGTTCCCAACGACATAACAGCTAACTCGTTACAAAACGAAATATAGCTTACTCGTTCCATGACATAATTCTTAAACGCGTTCCACACATATAGCTAACTCGATTCCCTCAGAACAATAGCCAAACTCGTTCCCACGGACATATAGCAAAACTCTTCCCACGACATATAGCCAAACTCTTTCCCACACATTACTAGCCAAAAACGCTTCTCACGACCCAATATGTTTATCGTTCCCACGACATATGCTAAAATCTTTCCTAACGACATATTATAACTCGTTTTCCCCAACACCAAATTGCTAAATCGTTTCGCAACGACAATAAACTAGCCGTTTCCGAGACATACTGCTAAATTCGTTTCCACGACATATAAGGCTAACTGTTCCCCACGACATTATGCTAATTCTTCCCACGACAAAAAGCCAAAAATTTTTCCACGAAAGTATACTTTTATCTCCGTTCCCACGAATAAAACTAAACTCTTTTCCCAACCATATATCTAATTCGTTTCCACTACAATAGCTTACTCATTTTCTCCAACTTTAGAATTACTCGTTCCCTTACATCATATAGCTATTTCGTTCCCTCCACAATAGAGCTACCTCCTTCCCACGAAAAAGTAAGTTCCAACCCCTTCGACACATTATAGGCTAACTCCATTCCCTCGACATATATCTAAATTCGTTCCCAATACATATAGCTAACTCGTTCCCACTACATATAGCTAACTTGTTCCCACAACAAATAGCTAACTAGTTCCGAGACATATCGCTAACCTCGTTTCCACAAAACATTATTGCTAAACTCGTTCAACGAACATATTTCTAACTCGTTCTAAAGACATATTGCTTATTCGTTTCATCGAACATATAGACTAAACTCGTTTCCAACGACATTATAGGCTTATTTGTTCCCAGAACATATAGCTAAAATTTCGGTCCCCACGACATATAGCCAACTAAGTACCCAGGAACATATAGCTAACATTTTTCACAAACATATTGCTTACTTTTCCCCCGACAAATTGGCTTAACTCATTTCCCACCACATATTGCTAACTGGTTCCCACGAAAATATGCTAACTCGTTTTCACGATTATATAGCTTTATTCGTTCCCAAGACAATATACTACCTCCTTCCCACGATTTATTAAGTCCTTCCCTCGAACATATAGCCTAACTCGTTCCCTCGACATAAAGCTTTAATTCGAGTTCCACGCCGGAATAAGGCTCACTCGATTCCAACCCATATTGCCTAACTCGTTCTCACAACATATAGCCCTAATGCTTTTCCCACGACAGAATTGCTTACATCTTCCCCACGACCAAGCTCAACTCGTTCCCTAGACATCCTTTTGCTAACTCTTCTCATGCACAATACAAACTCGTTCCCACAAGCCTAGTAAGTCCTGTTCCCTCGACAAATAGGTAAGTCGTTCCCTCAACATATAGCTAAATCGTTCCCTCGACATAAAGCTAACTCGTTCCCTCGGCATATTGCTAACTCGTTTTCACGATATATAGCTTATTCGTTCCCAAGACATATAGCTACCTCCTTCCCACGATTTATTAAGTCCTTCCCTCGACATATAGCTAACTCGTTCCCTCGACATAAAGCTAATTCGTTCCCACGCGATTAGGCTCACTCGATTCCAACGACATATTGCTAACTCGTTCTCACAACATATAGCTAATGCGTTCCCACGACATATTGCTTACTCGTTCCCACGACAAGCTCACTCGTTCCCTAGACATCTTGCTAACTCGTTCTCTGCACATACTAAACTCGTTCCTACAAGTAAGTAAGTCGTTCCCTCGACAAATAGGTAAGTCGTTCCCTCAACATATAGCTAAATCGTTCCCTCGACATAAAGCTAACTCGTTCCCTCGGCATATAGCTAACTCGTTCCCACAAGTAAGTAAGCCGTTCCCTCGACATATAGGTAACTTGTTCCCTCATAATATATAGCTAAATCGTTCCATCGACATATAGCTAACTCGTTCCCTCGACATATAGCTAACTCGTTCCCTCGACATATAGCTAACTCGTTCCCTCGACATATAGCTAACTCGTTCCCTCGACATATAGCTTACTCGTTTTCACGAGTAAGTAAGTCGTTCTCTCGACATAGGTTACGTACGCTGTTCTTTTTTATAGCACGGTTCTTTTTTTTATTTGGCTATTTTATTTCAAATGCAATACTTTTTTTAACTGCATCTTTTTTATCTCGTTCCCATGACTTAGTTACTTGTTCCCACGGGATTTTCGCGGGAACGAGTATTGAAAGAAAAATATTGTGTGTATTGTCACCTCTGTGCCCAAGAGAAAAAAGACATCCTTAATAGATAATTATGTTAATTCTCATTGACAAAGACCACCTTGCGTAGTTCGTCAAATGTCAATAGAATCACATTGCAGTTCATACGTTAACATATTTGATTACTATACGCACTATTACGAACCCCAAAAATAAAACATTATCATATATTAGCCCTAATCCTACACAATACAAATTCGTTATACTTCTGACTAAGTAATAAGAGTTATATTCATAATCCATTGAAATTAAAAAATATAAGTTGATATAGGTGGTACTTTAGTTCATGAATATTAAGTGAATTATATTACCGGTATATATCCTCGAGTTATACATGTGTACTACAAATTATATTACCAAAAATACTTTATCTTTATCAACCAGCCAAGCCTCTGAAGCAAACGCAATGCAAAACCGGTTTACATTTCAAAACGAGGCAATATTCGATGAACCTTCATAGTGTTTTTTTCGACAAGCGAATCGCATGCGTAAATAAATTGAAATAATTTAGAATTAACAGAAATTAAATGAAATTGACGTTGGTTAATTAATTAGTGCTTTGATAGATAGCAATAACGTAACTATGCTAAGTTTGGGTAATTACTTAACTATTCAGGATATCCGTTTAGTATAAAAAATCACACAATAGATACCACAATTTTTATCTATCTATCTGTATATAATTACTTTAAGTGT